TTTATTTCCAGGTCTGATACTTAAGTCTTTAGCCCATTTTGAGTTGACTTTTGTGTGTGGAATGAGATACAGGCCCAATTTCATTGTTTTGCCTGTAATATCCTGTTTTCCTAACTCCATCTATTGAAAAGACTACCCTTTCCTCATTGCATCCTCTCAGTGAACCTATCAAAATCTAGTTGACTGTATTATATGAGGGTCTGTTTCTGGGTGGCCTCTTCTGTTCTATTCAGCTGTGTGTCTCTTTTTTATGCTGCTGCCCCACTGTTTTTATGATTATACCTTTGGAACCTAATCTGAGATCAGGAAATGCCATGCCTTTGGTCTTGTTCTTGCTCTGGATTGCTTTGACTCTTTGGAGGTTATTATGGCTTCCTGTGAATTTTAGAATTGTTTCTCTATTTTTGTGAAAAATACCATTGAAATTTTGATGAGGAATATATTGAATTTATATATCAATTTGAATAATATGGACATTTTAACAATATCAATCCTTCTCTAATTTGTGAATTCTAGGTATCTTTTCATTTAGTTGTGTCTTCTTCAATTTCCTTCATCAGTGTTTTAAAGTTTTCTATGTACAGATATTTCACATCTTTGGCTAAATTTACTTCTAAGTATATTAGCCTTTTTTAGTGATTGTTGTTGAATTATGTTTTTTTCCCCTGATTTTTAAAATTTGTTGTCCATGTATAGAAACAGCACTTGTTTTTGTATGTTGATTTTGTATCCTGAAACTTTATTGAATTCATTTATTAGTTCTAACAATTTTTTAAAGAGAGAGAGAGAGAGAGAGAGAGAGAGAGAGAGATTTTTAATATTTATTTTTTAATTTTCGGCGGACACAACATCTTTGTTTGTATGAGGTGCTGAGGGTCGAACCCGGGCCGCACGCATGCCAGGCGAGCGCGCTACCGCTTGAGCCACATCCCCAGCCCCAGTTCTAACAATTTTTTTTGGGTTATGTCTATAGGGTTTGCTATATATAAGATCATGGCATCTGAAAGCAGAGACTATTTTACTTCTTCCTTTTCAATTTGGATGCTTCTGATTTTTTTTTAACCTAATTGTTCTCTCTAGGATTTCTAGTACTATGGTGAGTAGAGGTGCCAAAGGTAGGCAGCTTTGTCTTGTCCTGATCTTAGAGAAACAGTCTTTAGTTTTTCATCATTGAGTCTGCTATTATGATATGATATACAGCCTCTGCTATATTGTGGCACATTCTTTCTGTACTTATCTTAAGTAGATAAGAGGAACACTTTTACAAATAAGAAATGCCTATTTGTGAAAAGACTGGGAAGGTGCAAAAAAATGTAATACTTTCAAATTTTAAGTTAATTTTCAATGTCTAAACCATTTTTATTATAAGTATTCAGTCATATTAATTGTACAAATTAATGGGCTCTCCTGTGACATGTCCATACACACACATCTTGTACTTCGATCTTATCTACCCTCTCTCTTTTGTCCTCCCCCCAGGTCCCTTCCCCTGCCCTGATAAGTCTATTTTCAGTTCATCTTGTTTTAATTTTTATTACTTTCCACACATAAGGAAAAACATGGTATGTTTCTGTGTCTGGCTAATTTTGCTTAATAAGATAATCTTCAGTTCCATCATTTTCCTGAAAATGACATGATTATATTCTTCACGGTGGAATAAAATTCCATCCTGTAGTGCATATATATCCTTTTCTTTATCCATTCGTCTGTTGACAGACACCTAGGCTGATTCCATATCTTGGGTATTGTGAAAGTGCTGCTGTAAACATGGGTATGCAGGTATCTCTTTTGTATGCCCACTTAATTTCCTTTGGGTATATACCCAGGAGTGGTTTATTAGCTGGAACTATTTTCAGTTTTTGAGGAAACTTCATACTGTTATCCACGGTGGCTATATTAATTTATATTCCCATCAAGAGTGTATTAGGATTCCTTTTTTTTTCTACCAGCCTCTCTAGCTTTTTGTGTATTTATTTATTTTGCTATTCTGACTAGGGTGAGATAGAATCTGAATGAATTTTTGATACGTATTCCCACGATGGTTAAAGATGTTGAACCTTCTTTTATATATATTTTTATGAGCCATCTCTCCTCCTTTTGAGACATATCTGTTCAGATCATTTGCCCATTTTTTTATTGTTGGTTGTTCAAAACATTACATAGTTCTTGACATATCATATTTCACACTTTGATTCAAGTGGGTTATGAACTCCCATTTTTACCCCGTATACAGATTGCAGAATCGCATCAGTTACACTTCCATTGATTTACATATTGCCATGCTAGTGTCTGTTGTATTCTGCTGCCTTTCCATTTGCCCATTCATTGATTGGATTATTTGTTCTCTTGTTATTTTTTTAGTTCTTTATATATTCTGGGTATTAATTCTCTGTCAGATGAATAGCTGGCAAAGACTTTCATTTTCTGTAGATCATCCCTTTATTCTGTTGATTGCTTTCTTCACTGGGCGGAGCCTTTTGATTTAACATAATCCCATCTGTCAATTTTTGCTTTTGTTTCCTGATCTGTTGGAGTTCTACTCAGGAAATCATTGCCTGTGTCAGTATCTTAAAGTATTTCTCCTCTGTTTTCCTCTAGTAGTTTTAAAGTTTCAGGTCTCAAATTCAGGGTTTTGATCCATTCTGAGTTGATTTTTATACAGGATGGGAGATAGCAATCTCATTTCATGCTTCTGTTTGTGGTTATCCAATTTTCTTGGCACCAGTTTTAGAAGAGGCTGTCTCGTCTGCAAGGTATGTTTTGGCACCTTTATTGACAATCAGATGACTGTACTTGCATGGGTTTAATTCTGGGTCCTCTATTCTCTTCTATTGGTCTATGTGGGTATGTTTACGCCAATACCAAGCCATTTTGTTACTGGCTCTGTAGTGTATTTGAAGTCAGATATTGTGATGCCTCCAGCGCTAACCCTTTATTAAAGTTTAAGAATGCTTACATTATTGAGAACATAAAATCAGGATGAGATCCTTGGGTCAGGCTTCCTGAATTCCAATCCTACACCATCTATTTAACTATGAATTGTTTAGAAGTGTGCCAAGCATATTATAAGTGCTCAAGAAATATTAGGTATTATTTTCATTAGTGGAGAGTTTAAGTGAAAACAAGTTAAATACAAAGTGAATGTTAATTGCTTTGGAACATGCATTTGAATCTTGGGATTGTAACTGTTGTCTCATATTTTTTTCTTTTTTTTTTAATTTATTCTTTTCAGATTTACATGGAAGTAGGGTATGTTTTGACATATCACACAAACATGGAGTGTAACTTCCCATTCTTTGGTTGTCCACGATGTGGAGTTTCATTGCTCATGTATTCACATATGAACATAGGAGAGCTCATTCTTCTGCCTTTCCTATTCCCATTCCCCTCTCTTCCCTTCATTTCCCTTTGTCTAATCCAACAAGCTTCTATTTGTCTCCTATATTTGATCAGTAAATTAAGTCCCAAAGAATTTATTTCTCTGTGCTTTCAGTTGGAGTGGTTCTGTACATTGAATCACCTTGGCGTGCTTTTTAAGCCTTACCTTTGCTAAGGCCCCACCCAGACCAATTCTGCCACAGCCCCTAGGGTGGGTCTGGTACATTAGAATGTCTCATAGATTCTTGGACAATTGTATTAGGCAGTCAGGATCAGAGTAAGAAGTGAGGGTGTGCAGCCTCTCAGGGTCTTGTGAAGTCTCAGCTGCCCTCAGGCCCAGGGCGGCCTGACCTCAGGCACAGGTGATAGGAACTGAGAAAGGTCAGAACTTCCTTTCTTCTGCTATTCTGTCAAAATAAATCATAACTCATTACTGAAATTGGTAAATGTTGAATAAAGGAGGAGATTATCCCAAGAATAGATTTTTTAAAATTCTTCACATTTGTTCTTAACTAATATTGACTACCTCAAACCCTAATTTCTTCATTAAAATTAATTTAATCCCTATGAAAACAATTCCTGTTATTCATTGCTGTTTCTTTGAGTTTAAATACAAAATTCATAGAATCCTGACAACAGTAGCCCCTTACATTGGTGATCATGCGCTAAATACTTCCTGTGGGCTTGACATGGTGTTGGCCTCTGTGTATGTGATCTCCTTGTCCTTTTTTTTTTTTTAACCTTTATTTATTTATTTATTTTTATGTGTTGCTGAGGATCGATCCCAGGGCCTCACACGTGCTAGGTGAGCGCTCTACCACTGAGCCACAGCCCTAGTCCTCTCCTTTCCTTATAGTCCACCACAGGAGGTGGGCATAATTACCATCCCTGTTTGCCAATGGAAGTGATTTTTCTTGGTCATACGCCTGCTAGGAGGAGGAGGAATAAATAGTTAAAGGACATGTGTCCTACAGAGGAACCAAAACAGAATAGTGGCTGAAGGCACCAAAGTTGAAGTTGGGCAAGTTGTCAACCTGCCTGTGCTTTGGTTTCCTCATCTGTAAGACCAATGGAAACATCTACCTTATGTAATCCTTATAATAACTTCAAAAGTGGAGAATGATGGGTGACAGTTGTGAATGAATCCATGAGTCAGATAGGTTGTTAATGAAAGGATTCTATTTTTTTAAAAAAACTCTATAGGCTTTCAATAAATTAAAGTTTATTGTTACTATTTCATGAAAAATGCATGTTGATTGTAAAATTTTTAAGAAATTAAACAAGCAAAAAGAATAAAAAAAACCCTTTGGTCCTACAACTGGGAGAGAACTTGCTGAATTTTTTCCTACCTTTCCATATTTTTTCCATGCACACACACACACACATACATTATTTAAAATATGATACTGTGTATTATTTTTCTTTAAATGCCTTTTTATTCAGTAATGTTTGTGTTTTCGTTTTTGCTATAGCATTGCTATTATGCTTGCCTTGGGGTGCTTATACCCAAAATATTTAATCCCATTAAAAATGAATCAGGCCCTTGCCACAGGGTCACGTATGATTCAGTAACTTGCTGTTTAAATAATTGCTTGTTTTTCAGTGAGCGTGATTAACCTTGTCTTACACAGAGTGGCGTTAGGATACTGAGGTGGGGAGAACCGTGTTTGGATGGAGTCAGAGACTGTCTCCTGGAACGGCCTGAAGCTCAGCAGCCAACATGTTGGGAGGCACCAAGGAAGCCAGGTGGGAAGTGCTGCAAGGGGGCAGGATGGAGTCACATGGAGTCCAAGGCCAGGACAGGACAGAACCTTAGGCGAGGCTACAATTGGACAATAGCTAGGCCATATATAAAAATAAAATTCTGATCCCTAAGCTGCCCAGGAAACCAATCCCCTTCTCAGGTCGCCAGCCTGCTATAAGCAGATTTTCAGGAAGCCAGATTGTTATCTTTATTAATAATCCAGGAAGCTAAATAATAATTCTATGATAATTAGCCCCAGCTGACCAAGACTTCAAGAATAACTGACAACTTCTCTAATTTTTGACCCACTTCCAACTTTGGACCAACCAGAGAACAACCCAATATGTCCCCTAACCAGCCCCATAGGATGGCCAACTTCTGGTTGACCTGACTACAGCTTCCCTGCCAACACCCTCCATCGGGGCATACCCAGGCCTTCCCTTCTTTCCACTCTACAGCTTCCCCACTCCGCTGCTGCCTTTGAGTTCTTGCCCAAGCTTAAGTGATGGTGGCTGACTCCCTGTTCCAGGGAGCTCTGAATAAGTAGGCTTTGCTTTTCTCATGGAGTTGGTCTTTGTTTTCATTCTTGCTTCAAGTCCTTGTCAGACAGTTTAGGTGGACCCTGTGTCAGATAGGACCCTGTGTCTTTCATGGAATTGTACTTGACCTCTTTTTGTGACTGCAGGCTACTTTTCTGGAAAGCAGGGACCATAACTTACCCAACCTGTATTGTTAGTGCCCCACACTAGCTTAGCTCATAATAAAAATTGTTGAAAAGAAAGGGCAAAAGGGATCACTCACAAGGGTTAGACCACTTATCTTCTAACATTGTAACTGTTTTGTTAGGATAGCATGAAATGTTACCCAAATTCCAGCCTCCTATAATCCAAATGGGAATCAACCTGGAGGTGAGGGTACTGGGCACTCGGATGGATTTCACACTGTGGAGAACTACCCTTAAATCTTTTTGGCAAAATTCCCCCAGATTTATGTTTGTTTGTTTGTTTGTATTACACTTCTTTCTGATCTAAACCATGTGAATTAAGAGGGAATTTTAATTAAAAATATAGTTTTCCCCCTAGCTAGCTGAAAGCAGGTATTAGCCAAACTGAAAGAAAACCATGGCTAAGTTAGTTTTGCTTCCTTGTAATCCTCGTTTTCCAGGAAGATGAGTGGCCTGTTAATTGTCATTGTGATGGAGGTTTTGTGAGGGCTCTCACTGATACATCTATCAGCCCCAGGCTCCCTCCTTGAGAAGAGAAATGTCTGTCAGTCATTAGACAGGGGCCGTGCATGCTATGCTTGGTCTGTAGATTGCCCTGACCTTGTGTGTTCGCCAAGAACACTCTCCAAATTTAAAGCCTGCAGTTATTTTATTTTGTAGCTGAGATTTTTGTTTTCCCCTTTGGACCAGGAATTGAACTCAGGGGTGCTTTAATCACTGAGCCACATCCCAGTCCTTTGTTGTATTTTATTTAGAGAAAGGGTCTCACTGAGTTGCATAGGGCCTCACTAAATTGCTGAGGCTGTCTTTGAACTTGTGATCCTCCTTCCTCAGCCTCCTAAACTGCTGGGATTATTGATGTGCACCACTGAAACTGGCTAGCTGAGACTTTTTAATGTGTGGAAACAGAATCCAGAGGTGTGAGGGATTCATCTCAGAAATTCTGCACATGTCTCAGGGCTGTAAAGAAGTTGTTTTTTATGCTAAGCATCTTTTTAGAACTTGTCACTAGACTGTAAGCTCTACAAGGGCAGAAGCTGTGTCTGTCTCATTTCTTTAAAATTTTATGTCTCCTGTACCTGTGTACAGAATAGCGCTTATTAGAATTTTGCTCAACAAATGGTGGGAACTTGGGATTCAGAGTCACTTGAAAGAAGGTATAGTCCCCACATTATCCTGGTGAGACTGGAAGCAAAGAGCCTGTAATAAAATACCTACAAATATCAACAACACTGTGGCTACTCTTCTTGTAGAGACAAGGCTATTTCAGCTAGGTATTTATTAATAAATAGATGACCTTCTACCCATCCCTTCCCCAGTTACCCACTGGTGAGCCAAGAAGTTCTGCCTTGCTGCGACCTGTGCAAACATTAATAATGATCTTGAGTAGGGTGACTGGAGATGGAGAAAAACATATATACAAAGAAAACACAGAGACATTTCCAAGTAAAGCTGGGGCCATCAATGTACTCTGATGGAGGAATAGTGACCCAGAACCAACTGCAAGTTTATTATATAGGGTCTCATGATCAGGAAGTTAAACCATAGGGGCACTGCAAGAGGCTTCTTTGTGTTCTAAAAAGTCACAGAGCTAGAAACATTTTTGCAGCTATCCTACTGTTGCAGTGCTAGGAACATTCTGCTAATATCCTGCTGCACCCAGGAAGCCCATTGTCCTGGAACATCTGATAACTTTGAGCATCAGAGCCGAGTGTCAAGGCTATTAACATCCTTACCTTTTGGAAAGGAATGTTTCCCAGGCTTGGCTTTTGCCAACACTGCAGGATCAGCCGATGATCTGCTGTCCACCCTGCCCCATAGGACTCAGTCACTCACAGGTTAAGTAATCTGACTGCCTCATTCAGAAGAGAAGTTACCCTACACTGCCTTGTGGGTAGGGCAGTCAGGGACATAATGAGCTCAGACAAAGGAGGACAGTGCTCATTCTTAAATGTTCCTGCCCAATGGGGGATTACTACCTAGGCAATGCTTCCTTCACTTGATTATACTCCCTCCTTCTCCAGAGCAGCCTAAAAAACAGCTCTGCTCACTCCTCACCTTCTGTTAGTACAGTCAAATCCTTACTACAGCGATGAACTGGTTTTCCCATATTCTTCCCAGCAATCTGGGGGTGGGAGGAGAAGAGATTGTGAGGAAGATAGTCTTTTGGCATTGGTTTCTGGGGTTGTCACTCAGCATCCATTTCAACCTCTACTTCCTGGGCCTTCCAGACTACAAGTGCCCCAAAACTAAACACCTACATTTCCCAGACTTCCTTGCAGCCAGTGATGCATGCGACTTAGATGCATACTTACTCAGAATACAGAGGGAGGCAGAGGTATTGCTTCTACTGCCCTAGAAGAACCTAGTTTGTTTGCTTGGCCCCCCTCTGCCCCCCTATCAGAGGAATTCTGACCATTACAGCTTGCCAGTGAGAGGCTGAATCAAACTTTCTGAGTTAGGTATTACCGAGGGTTGCCCTCCCTGGTTACAATTGCTTTGGTTTTAGACAATTATTTACAAAAGCACTGATGTGTTACTTTTGATTCCTGAATTCCAAGCTATTGTTTGTCTACTGTATCCTGGTAAATGGTAAGCAATTAGAAATCCATGGTTATGGGTTTTATTATGTTTAATAAAATGTTGAATCTGTTACCTATTAAATTTTGTTCAGAAAAACGTTAAGACTAATTATCTAGCCAGAGCTTGGGTTTAGGATTGTCCTGTTGAGAATAAGCTTTTGCTTCTGGGTGTCTTAGAAACCCCCAGATGATCTATGACACAAAATCTGTACCAATAACCATTATAATAAAATATTATACTTATTTATGTTTTGGTGCTGGGGTTGGAACCCAGGGATGCTTTATCATTGAGCTACATCCCTGGTCCCTGCCCACCCCTCCTTTTTTGGAGACAGGGTCTCACTGAACTGCTGAGACTGGCCTTGAACTTGTAATCTTTCTTCCTCAGCCTCCCAGGTTGCTGGGATGATTGGTATGTGCCATCATACCCAGCATGAAGTATTATATATACACATGTCTTCTATGATTTTTGAAAGCATGATCTTTTATGTTGTAGGGAAAGGAAGATGTACAAAGAAAAAAATGCAAACCCAGAGAAGTATGAAAATTTGTTGAATGTCACCAGGTTAGTTAATAAACAGCAGCATCAGGTCTACATTGGGTCCAAAAAGCTTATCTTTTGATAACAAGTAAAGCAACTGCCTGACGATACATGTTTCTCCACTAACCAGCCAAGAATAAACTGAGATAGATACTGGACCTAGTGCCCCCCTCCCCACTCCCACTTTTTAAAATTCAACTGGAAAAGATTCACTTTATAGTTCAAAAAAAGCAGGAGCAACTTAAGATGTACCCACTTTGTTGCAAAGGCCCGTGGCATTCATGGGCTAGGAGTCCTGAGGCCAAGGGAGAGACGGGATTCAAGCCCTAAGAGAGTCCTTGCAACATCTGGGAGTGCTGAGGCAAGCTGGGGTGACAGCTTTATTCCATAAAACAAGGATGTGCAAGCAGCAGTAGGAAAAGACATTAGGTTGTGCTGAGGCTGCGGAGGAGGATGCACGGGTGGCTTAGGGGGAAGCAGAGCAGACTACCTGCTGGGCTTAGTACTCCACTTAACACTTCTTTTTTTTTTCCTTTGTTCTCGCTATTAATTTCTATTGTGAAAAAGAGTCCTTCCAAAGAATGGCTGTGGGTTTGAAACAGAGCAGCCATGAATCACTCTTTTCCACCAGATATCTCTTCGGCACTTATGGCTAAGACTTTCCTGGACTTCGTTTGAGTTTTTCTGGTACACGAGGAGGTTTCCTTTTGCTGTGGAAGGATTTACATGGAGCCAAATGTTTCATGGTCCTATCTGTGATGTGCTTTAAAGCCTTTTCTGAAAGTGAAATTTATTTAAAGGAAAAGCTGTTTCCTACTAGTTGGAACAGCCTCTAGCCTCTGACTCATGCCTTTGCTCCCAGGAGCCTTCACAGTAGGACTGGCCACGGAGCAAGCCTAGAGACATTAACCTTCAGAATGCTGGGAGGAGTCCTGGGTGACCTTGTGCCTCAGGACCTATTTATTTACAGAGCAGGAGGAAATGAAGCCTGTTGAGGTGTGGCAGATTTTCCTGTTAGGAGGTAAATTGGTGGCTGGGAGAGGAGGTGGAGGTTCAGGTTCTTTGTCCCGGGCACTGGCCTCAGAAATCTCTGCCTCGGCCGTGTATGGAATCAGGTCTTAAAAGGAGCCATGGCCATCTCCTTACATCATGGAAGTTGGAAGGGCTTTGCATGCAGACAGATCTGAGTTTGAGTCACTTTACTAGCTATTCAGTACTTGGCAATTTATCAACCCGGGTTTCCTTGTTGGTAAAATAAAAATGATACCATTGAAGAGCTGTTGTCACTAGGAGGAAAATGGTTTTAAGGTACGAATCAGAGTGCCTTTCTCACGGCAGGTATTCAACAAGGGGCAAATGTCCACTTTAATATGCTCATGATTGTTTGCTGGTTATTTCCCTTAACCAGTGCTATCTGAGTTCCTCTTTGGGAGCTCTGTGTTAGTCAGCTTTTTGTTACTATAATAAATTCCTGAGATAATCAACATATAAATAAAAAAGGTTTACTTTGGTTCATAGTTCAGAGGTTTCAGTCTGTGATCGGTTGGCCCTGTTGCTTTGGGCCTGTGGTAGGGAGCACCAGATAGAGCAAAACTACTCAACTCATGGCCCAGAAACAAAAGAGAAAGCAAGGAAGGGAGGGTGGGATGGGGGTTCCACTACCCCCTTCAAGGGCATACTCCCAATGACCTGAAGACCTCCCACTAGGCCTCATCTCTTAAAGGCTTTATCACCTCCCAAGATTACCACACTGGGGTTCAGGCCTTTGCCACATGGAACTTTGGGGGGTCACTTTAGATCCAAACTACAGTGGGCCCCTTCTTACTCAAATCTCTTCTTCCCTGTTTCTCTATTGTTATTATAAGCATGAGATTTATTACTTGCAGTGTTTCTGTTTCTGTATTTCAAAACCCCGTGTTTTAAAAAAATATCCTGATACCAGCCTTGCAAAACAGGCAGCCAGTAGCATGAGTGTCCTTATTGCACAAGTGGAAATAATGAGGTTGAGGGGGAAAAAAAGTGGAGAAAGATTAGTACAGGAATAGTATACTAAAGTATAGGCTTTAAATCCCTGGCGGGGGGGGTGGGGAATACCAAAAAAAAAAAAAATTGGTGCATTTCGATTGTGAGGTCTATAACATCCATCATATTCCTACAGGGATCGTGGATCCTCCCAAAAGGATAAGAAACACTTGGTTGAAGACCTCCTAGACTAGAGAACTATTTGGAGGTGGTTCATGGTTTCTACCTCACACAAGCAGCATAACGGGGCAGGAAGTTGGTGTACCATTTTGGTCAAAGTCTGCTTTAGAAGTGTAGATCCCCAGTCCCCAGCTAAGACCTACACAATCCCAGTGTCAACAACTGGAGCTGGAGAATCTGGCATGGGAACAAGTTTTCCAGGTGATTTTTATAGCTGCTCAAGTTCCCCAATCCACTGGTGTAGTAGTAAAACCAGCTTTTGGAGTCCGATCACTAGGCATGGACCCACCACTTATGGCTGTGGGAATCTGGGACCAGACTTCAGTTTCTCACCTGCACAGTGGGGGTGCATGATCATGTCTCTCCCATGAAACATTTATGAACATTAAATGTGGTGGCGTCTGTACAGTGTTTAAGAGCTTAATATGATAAAAACTCAAATGTGAGCCATACTGATGATCATTATTATGAGCCTTATTGTTATCAGTACTGCTATTAGGAGATAGAAGCAGGTCAAAGGCTCTAACTCTGCAGGAAATTGTGGGATAATTAAATCAATTGAGCATTTCCTTTAACTGTTTAGAAAGTCATTTGGTTCACCTGCAATATTGTCAGTGTCAAACCTAAATTGCACAGGCTGATGACATCAACAGATCAGCCACATTAGAGTTGAAATTTCCCATCGGAAATTTCATTCTTTTTTCTCTTTAGTTTCTAGTTTTCCTACCATGAGCACATATGGATTTTAAAAAAATCTTTATTTTTTAATGTATGATTTAGTGAAAAAATATTCAGTTTATTATCTGTGGATTGTAGTGAATTAATTGATTAAGACCCATTATTTTATTTAAAAAAATTAGATAACATTACAGTCTACTTCTGAAAGAGTTTTCAAAGCAACTGAGAAAGTCTTACAAATTGTGTGAGATATACGTGAGAACACACCTTCAGAGGGTAGACTGTACTTTTCAGCTGTGTTAGGCTTGTTCTTTAAAAAATGAAGTTAAAGGTCTGGGGCTATAGCTCAGTGGTAGAGTTCTTGTATCACATGTGTGAGGTACTGGGTTCAATTCTCAGTACCACTAAAAATAAATACATAAAAAGATATTATATCCATTTACAACTAAAATGTTTTTTAAGTAAAGTTAAAAAAGAATGTTGTTTAAATAATTTCACATGTGCATGCATAGATACGTGGCATATGTACAAATACGTCAACTGTAAGAATGATGAACTATGGATTGAAAAAAAATTACATAGTTTGAATCAAGACAAAGAGCGGGGTCAAATGAAAAACAAAGTATGAATAATGCAATAATGCAGAGTTGAACCTTGGGATTAGTACTGGCTGCTACCTTTTTTAATGAGTTGCCAATGGGAAGGAGTAGTGGCAAGTCCTCTGGTGATAATAATAAACTACTGGGGCTGAGGTTGTAGCTCAGCTGTAGAGTGCTTGCCTAGCACGTTGGAGGACCTGGGTTTAATTCTCAGCACCACATGAAAATAAATAAAAGTATTGTGTCCAAATGCAACTAAAATTAAATATTAAAAAATAACAGTAAACTACTTTGGAAAGAAAGATATTCGGTAAAAGATAGCAAAACTCAAGAATGTAAACCAAGGAGGAACAGCATGAAAATCAGGTGAACAACAAATTCACAAGTCCCAGGAGGAATAAGGAAACACAACTGTGAGTTTGAATGAAAAGTTTGTGAGAGCTGGTGACAGGTGGTGCATGCCTGTAATCCCAGTGGCTCAGGAGGCTGAGGCAGGAGGATTGTGAGTTCAAAGCCAGCCTCAGCAAGAGGTGCTAAGCAACTCAGTGAGACCCTGTCTCTAAATAAAATACAAAATAGGGCTGGAGATGTGGCTCAGTGGTTGAGTGCCTCTGAGTTCAATCCTGGGTACCCTCCACCTCCCAAAAAAGTTTGTGATAATCAATGAGGAAAATAAAGGTATTGAACTGGTTACAGGGAAGAACCCACTGTTAAAGGCTTTCTCTTTTATCTTCTCTGGAAAGGTCCCCCCCCCCACCAGGGCCCTTGTCAGATATGACTCTTGGCTTTATGCTCTTGACCAGATACTGCTGCTGTTGGAACTTGCACCGTGAGGTACCTGTGGTCTCCAGACACTGAGATGGCCCTGTTCCATTCCTGGGACGACTCAGCAATGTGACTGTGAAGAAACCCTGAAGAACAAAAGGGAAGAGTTTAGGTGGCTTGGCTCCAGGAGGTGGTGGGTCATTATGGTCTAACTGCAAAAATGGATGGAACTACTGTCTCCTTCAATCACTTCCCAGGAAGTACCAGGAATTAAAACCATCATAGAGTTTTTAAATGAGCAGAAAAATACTTGTGCTAGAACTGTGATCAGACCTGTGATCTATGCCTCAGAGTCAGCTAAGAAGAAATGGCCTAAGTGGAAGCCCTGGTTATCTGAGTTCTTCAGATCAAACATCAGGCCCTGGAATGTCCTCTATACCTTGGTTTGGGGGAATTTTTCCTGCTTAGTCCTCTAAGTCTCCTTCCAATCTCTAATTTGTTGGTCTGCTACAGCCAACTGTAACAGGGTGGTCCATTCTCTGCTCCTGACTTCCAGTCCAGTTCTCAGCTCAGGTCCTCCTCTTTGGGAGTAGGACTGGACCAAGGTTTCACTGCTGTATTCAGATAATACCCAAGAAGGAAATTTGGATTTGCAAGTCATCCTCACTCTCTCGTGAGACATCCTAGTGACATCCTAGCTTCTGTTGACAGGTTCTTGTGACATCCTAGTCTCTGTTGCTGTCTCTGACTCTCTGTCCCATACATACATATTTATGAATTTTGTGTTGAACATTTTGCCTGTCTTTGCTCTCTTGTAACTTTTACAGTCTTCTTCCTGGGACTTACATGCAATTTCAAATTGTCACTTTCTCTCATAGTGATAATAACTTCCATGATGGGTCCCATTACCATGCTCATCTTCTTTCCTTGCTCAATCTTTTCTCAACTTTGCTGAAATTTGCCAATAAAAGTCCTCCCACCCTAGGAATAATAGTTTCCCCTTTCTCAATATATGAAGACTACAATGAAATACAAAGGGAGAGCCCCTTCCCTTCTGAATCAGGTGCCTCTGGGCTGATTACCTTTCCCTTTTCTCAGGTCTCTCGCCATGAAGTGTCCTGCCCCTGTCTTGTGCACACGGCATAGTTCCTCTGGGCCCAAGATTGGACTTAGCGCTGCTTGGTGCAATTTGTGGCTACCCTGCTAGCTCTTAAATGACTTACAAACTTTATTGAAAAACAATTTTGAAGTCTTGTAAGGAATATTTCCAGGCACGAATTTAATTTCCTGCCAGAGCATTCTTTCTCATCAAAGTCAACTTGAGAGTCTCCTCATGACAGGATGAGCTGAGCTGGCACCATAGGAAGGCATGGCCCTGAGCCCCCTGTCTCGCACCCCTCTGGTCCTCAGGCTGGCTTTCCAGGCACAGCTACAGGCGTGTGTGAGTTTTCCACTGAGTCCAAATAAATCAAGTGAGGAAATACGTGGAGGTGTTGGTTTCCAGCACTTATTTTTTTCTGTGGCTTTCCTAATAGGCAAAGCAAAGGACTATTTCAAACTTGAGTTTCTACAGCACAGCAGGGTTGCAGGAATAAAAGTAACAGTTAAAAATTGGCAACTGAATTCGAGGGCAATCAATCTACCATCTCAAGGGATTGGTTTGGTGAGGTGGATCCAAAAGTAGGAATGAGGTTCATAGGTTAAGGTTTTGGTTCTCTTCCAGGTTTGCTATTAATGTGCTCTGTGTCTGGGTCTATGCCTCAGTCCTATTTTCCTGGCTTTGTAGAAGATACCACGACATCAACAGAGCTGCTATAAGAATTTACTAACACGTGTGAGGTGATTTATAACCTCCAGATTAATAAGTAGCAGCACGTGGTCATGTAACTGTTGTACACCAGCCCTCCCTGACATAATGCAACTTGTCTATCAGCTCTTAATTGTTATTAACCAAAGGCGATTCTATTTGTTCCATGTGTATAACTCTTGCTGACAATATCTGCATTGCCTACTACTATTTTAGCCCATATATTTTCTTTGAAGTGCTTTTCCAATTTAATTATTGACATGAGTTATTTCCAATTTGATCTTGTCTGTGGTTTTTTCCTTTACTCTTTTCCAAGAGTACTTGTCTTTCTTAAGTGTTTTTTTCTCTCTTTATCATCTTAGAATTTTATTTTAGTTTGGGGATTTATTGAACCTCTTCTCCAATGTTTCATTAGAATCTCACCCATGGTTTCTCAGAATTCCTAATTCCTTCACATGGTTCAGCCATTTTTATACTTCCTTAAACTTTTAAACCTTTGATTAAATAAATTTGTGCTCCAAAACACATAAAAATTCTTTGACTTGGATAAAAAAGAGCTTTTCAAAAAAATGAATACAATTCTTATAAACATGTTTATATACCATATTAAGTTCAAAATAGATGGTATGTTTAACATTACACACTTGTAGAAATTCTAAGTTTAACTTTTGAAAGCTTGAGTAAATACACACTCAGGAATGCCTGCAATCCTTATAAACAGTTCTTATCTACCTGTCAACTGTCAGTGTCAACATTTACAAGTTAACAGACGACATGCTTTAACACAATTACTAAATCCTTGTCTGTTTATTTCTGAACCGATCATGGGAAAGTCATGTCCAATTGAACCTTGAAAAAACATACACATTTTACATAGAAAGTAGAGGTTTCCAACAACGGATCTGTCAAGAAATTTTAGAGACTTTATCCATGTAAAACTAGGCCAGTTTCCTATGCTTTAGACACATGGTGGTATTAGATAAAGCATTTGGTTGCCAAAGTATTTTTACAACTACTGCCTATAAATCACCAAGGGAAAAAAATAATAAGAATTGCCAATATTAAAAAAAGCATGGCATGATGTGGCCATTTACCAATTGACAGCTTCCGTTGCACCCTGTCCCCTGTTAGGATGGATCAATGGTAGCATTATTTAACATCGTCTCTGTCACATATTTCTGCTGATGGTATATCTGATTTTGGTTAATTAATCATATCAATGGCCCCAGCTAATGGCTGCCTTATATTCTCACTTATGCAATGTGATGTTGTTGCTCCTCTGATCTAGACTCTGTTTCCCCAGTTCTTGGGAAATAGATTAAATCTTATTATAAATGCTTCTCTACATTCTTCCTTTCTACTCATGTGTCAAGAGTATTTCTTCATGTTAACAAAAATTAATATGTTTTATCAATTTCAGTGACTCTATATATTCCATTATACAGACACATTAAAATTTGTCATTTCTTTATTGATACAAGGATACAGGCTGTTTTTTTAACTCTAAAAATTTATAAATAATGCTTCTGTGAACATTTTTTTTTTGGACTGTACCTTTCTAATTATTTCCTTGGGATACAATTTTTTTTTTCAGAAATTGGCAGAGTAGGCTGGAAGTTAAATATGTTTAAACTTTTTCTGATGCTTACCTGCTTTTGAGAGTGACCCTGAGACGAGAACTCCAATTGTTTGGTGGCTGGGGAAGAGAAGACACTGTACTTCAGGGGAGTGAGGCAGGGAGGACTCTTGGTTCTAGGGATTGGTAAAGAAAAAGCTGAGAAAGAAGACTCCTTAAGCAGCAGGAAGTCCCTCGTGAACAGTTGACTCTGGTTCAGGCAGGAAGCCAGAAAAGACTGCCTGACCTTGGGGGATCGCCTGCAGAAACGTGGCTGATAAAATTGATCTTCAAGAGACTCTTAAGGAGCATCCAAAAGACCAGGACAGTTTCAGCAGAGCAGTGTGAGGTCCATCCACAGAAGCACCAGACCTTAGAGTCAGACAAGAAATATGTACCATGCATGGCTATTGGCTCTCCTGTTCTTGCTGTTCCTTCTATGTTCTGTGAAAGAAAGAACTTTATCCTATCATTCTGTGTGTGTCTCCCCACCAAACTGCAACTTACTTGAAGGAGTAGATTATGTCTTCAATTTTTCAGTCTCTTGTGCCTGGTACTCAAAAGGTACTTCCTCAATTTTTATATATTATAAATGAAAGGAAGGTGCATTTCAGTTACAAACTGTGACATCAATACAGGATGTGGGAGCCTGAAATGACAGCATTCTATCAGGAAAAGGCCTTGGGGACAGAGGGCCAGATATGCGGATGTGAAGATATGGTGGGAGGGTGTAGTTGGGCTGTAAAAAATGACAAGCAAAATGCTTGCAAATTGAATTATGACGTATTTAAAAAATATATCCTTAATGTGACTTTTCCTCAAAAATGTTGGGATGAGTTGCTGTCAAAAAAACTTATCAGGGGGCTGGGGATGTGGCTCAAGCGGTAACATGCTCGCCTGGCATGCGCAGGGCGCTGGGTTCAATCCTCAGCACCACATACAAATAAAATAAAGATGTTGTGTCCACCAAAAACTGAAAAAAATAAATATTAAAAATTTTTTTTTTCCTCTCTCTCTTCTCTCTCTCTCTCTCTATCTTAAAAAAACAACAACAAACTTATCAGGCTGGGCACCGTGGCGCATGCCTGTTATCCCTAGCAGGTTGGGAGGCTGAGGCAGGAGGATCTCAAGTTAAGCCAGTCTCAGCAACTTTGTGAGGCCCTAAGCAACTCAGCAAGACCCTGTCTCTAAATAAAAATACCGAAAAGGTCTAGGGATGTGGGTTCAATCCCTGGGACCACCCCCCACCAACAAACCAACAAACAAACAAACAAAATCCATACCAAAACAAACAGAAACTTTTTAATCTATCAACGTAATTCAAAATATTAACAAAGAAGAAAATAATATATCTCAGTGGATATAGGAATAGTAATAGAAAAAATGAGAAAGGAGATATAACTCCACGTACTAATGATTAAAAAAAAATGTCATAGAAAGTATGTTGATCATTTATGTCTACTATAACAAGCTCCCACACATTTAGTGGGCTAAAACAACATGAGTCTATTCTCTCACAGATAAGGAGAATAGAAATCCAAAAGTAGCTTTAAGGGTTCAAAATCAGGGTGTGGGCACCCTGGTTCTTCCAGAGATGGCAGGGGGATTCTCATCCTTGCCTGCACTTCTTAGCTGTGGCCCCTTCCTCAGGTGACATCATCTTTTCTCTCCCAGCTTCCATAATCAGGTTGATTTTCTCTTCTTCTCCTGTAGTCACACCTCTCTCTGCCTGTCTCCACTTTGATCACTTTTGTAAAGTCACTTTTGCCTTACAAGGTGATATTCACGAGTTCTAGGATTAGGCTCTGGATTTCTTTGGGGATCCACTATTCAGCTATTCGTAGAAAGCATATCAATCGAACAGCTACCTTATAGTGCAACACTGAAAGGGTGAGCTGGATTTTCATTTCTGGCACATGGGTAAAGGAGGAAGAGCAAAGGTGTCTATTGCAGCATTGTTTATGTTAAGAAAAAAGTCCTCATAGTGTTATTATTATAAAGGGAGAGTGGTGTGCAGGGTACTAGTGAGATTATAGTCTTTGGAGCTAGAGAGATTTAGATTGGATTCCTGATGCATTTGCTTCCTGGCTAAATGACTTCAGGCAGTTTAATTCATCTCTTTGATTCATTTTTTCTCATCTGGAAATGAGGAAAGTTAACAACAGCCATATCACTGGCTGTTGCAAGAATTAAATAAGTAAATCCATGTAAAATGCTTAGCAGTGTTTACTATATGTTCCAAAACATGTAGGATAATTGTGATGATGACGATAATGATACAGTTGAAGAACTGACCTAGCTTGTAGTGCAGCATACAACTAAATGCTTAGGGAATGCAAATCTTTTAATACTATGTTGCTCTGTAGGTCGATCCAGGACCTGGGTGCATATGAGAGACGGACAGTTGGAGCTCTCCAGTGATAGAGCAGGCAGCCATGCCAAACTAAGAAAAACCCCTGTCCCTGGAAGTTTTCAGATATCCTGGAAGGCCATCTGGTAGAGGTGTTGCCAAGCAGATTCCTGTTCTAGTAGGAGTTGGAAGAAATAAATTCTGATGTGTCTTCCAAATTTAATAACATAATTACGTTTCATTTGTTTAAAATATTTAATTGGCTCTTTCTTTCAGACTACTGGTTTTGTAACAAGTCAAACCACAGGCAACCAGTGAGGGGAGAGGCCTACCTACCCCATCTTCCTGATCACATCCGTCTGAAGAAACCACTGTTGACAGCTTGGTTTGTGCACTTCTGGGCTTTTCTTTATACTCATGCAACTTAAGCAAAACACATGCATACCACTGGCCTCCCCTCTCTCAGTGTTTTCTATTTTTATATGATCATAAGTTCCATATAATGTATGCTATTTAGCAATTTGACAATTTTCACTTAATATATCATGGAAAAAAATCATTTTAAGCCTTTGTATAGAACGATAAGCATGTTTGAAATTCAAAGACAATTTTCAAAATTGCCTTATCGGATATGAAAACTTATAAAACTACTTAATCAAAATAGTGGGTGTCAGCACAAAAATTACATCCTAATAGAGAGTTTAGGAATAATTCTAAGTTCATATAGGAATTTGGCATTTTAAATTGGTAAGAAAATAATTCCCTTCCTAGGAATCTAGGTAGATGTTTTGCTGTGTACTGTATATGAAGACTATTAAAGAAAAATAAAAGTACATTTAAGAGTTAAATATAAGATAATAAAAATACTAAAAGGTAAACTATGATTCCTTCTGTATAACCTTCAGTGAACTTCTAAATAAAAAACCCAGAAGCCAAAAAGACCTATGAATATGACTGTAAAGAAAAAGAAAAGAAAAACAACTTTGTCTTGGAAAACGATACAGCAAACAAGTTGAAAACAATTTCCAATAGGGAGATAATATTAGTAATGCATAAAGCAAACACTTTCAGAGGTTAATGTTCTGATATTCTTTTTTTTTTTTAAGAGAGAGTGAGAGAGGACAGAGAGAGAGAGAATTTTTTAATATTTATTTTTTTTTTTAGTTCTCGGCGGACACAACATCTTAGTTGGTACGTGGTGCTGAGGATCGAACCCGGGCCGCACGCATGCCAGGCGAGCGCGCTACCGCTTGAGCCACATCTCCAGCCCCATGTTCTGATATTCTTAAAAGAAAACCCTGCACACTGATAAGGAAAACCCTACACACTGTTTAGAAAAAAAATTAATTGGCTTAGTTTTAAGTTGGGACTAAGAGTATCAACAGGTAATAAAAGAGGAAATCAGATGGGCAGTACCCTCGTGAAAAGATGTTGTGAGGAGAATGTAAATGAAAGCTACAACACACCGTCACTTTTATGCATTTTATTGACAAAAAAATGTGAAGGATTTATCATATTCAGAAGTAGAAAGAATGTGGGGGAAACAGTGCTCATAAATTGTTCTTGGGAATGTGAAATGTTCCTTGTTGGGAAAGTCATTTGGAAGGTTAAAATAAAAATTAATCATGTTCTCTGATCCATTAGTACTATCTTTCAGGATCTCTCTAGAAATGGACTCATCAGCATGTAAGAGTATGTGTTCAAAGATGCTTATTATGAACTTGTTTGAAGTGGCAAAAAAGCAGGAAAAGTCATTAATGTTTTAATTTGGGAATACATTCAATAAATAATAACACTCATACTGTAGAATATTATGGGGCTACTTTTAAAAAAGATATTGATTAGGTGAGACAATCAAAATTTAATTGGTTAAAAAGAGACATTTTTATTTTTTAATGTTTTTTAAAGAGAGAGAGAGAAAGAGAATTTTTTAAGATTTATTTTTCAGTTTTCGGTAGACACACATCTTTATTTTATTTTTATGTGGTGCTGAGGATCGAACCCAGCACCCTATGCATGCCAGGCGAGCGCGTTACCGCTTGAGCCACATCCCCAGCCCTACTTTTAGTTTTTTAAATATTTATTTTTTAATTGTAGTTGGACACAATTCCTTTATTTTATTTACTTATTTTTATATGTTGCTAAGGATCGAACCCAGGGCCTTGCACCTGCAAGGCAAGCACTCTACCGCTGAGCCACAGCCACACCCCCCTACAAAAGAGACATTTTTAATTATGAAAGTAGCATAGTCAATGTAGAAAATCCAGAAAAGTAAGTGTTTTTTAAAAGCCCTTTGAAATTTTGTTTTTCAGAGTTAGTCCGTATTATATATTTGGTCTGTGTGTTTATATAACATATAAATGTTATAAAATATGTTTATATGGTTATATTTATTTATGCATACTTATAATTGAATTTTTAAACTTAGCATTAAGTGGTATGCTTTTTTTTCCAATGAAGATGTATTAGCTTACTAACTTAAATAGCTGAATTAATATTCTACCCTGAGACTGTAGCATAATTTGTTTTTGACACTAGAAAATGGGATTATTTACCATTTTTAGTGTTTAAAATAATATAATGGATCACTCATACATCGATAACAGGAATGAAAAATGGTACAGCTGCTCTGGAAAACAGTTTGGCAGCTTCTTAAAAAATGAAATATGAACTACCATCCAACCCAGCAATTGAACTCTTGGGCATTTTTCCCATAGACATAAAAGCTTATGTTCATAGTGGCTTTATTCATAATAACCCTATACTTGAAACAACCTAGATGTCCTTCATGGGGCGAAGGTTACACAAGTCATGGTACATGGATGCCATGGAGAGCCACTCACCCATAAGAAAGAAGCAGCTCTGGGTTCACCCAACAACTTGGATGAATCTCCAGGCATTGGTTCAGTATAAAAAGCCCACCTC